GACTCGACGGCACATAACAACAACAACAAAAAATATATGGCATAAACAGACTATCAAGCATAACTCAAAATGTACAAATAGCAGAGAAACTAGATGAATGGGACCTTCTAAAAATTAAATTTTTATGTGTTTCCAAAAAGTCAAAAGAGAACCTATAGATTGGGAAAAAATACTCTGCAATGACATATCTGACAAGGGACTTATCTCTAGAATTTATAGAAAATTCCAACACCTCAATAACAAAAAGACAAATAATCCAATTAAACAATGGACAGAAGACATGAATAGACACTTCACCAAGGAGGATATTCAGGCGGCCAACAGACATATGAAGAAATGTTCATTAGAGAGATGCAAATCAAAACAACAATGAGATACCATGTTGCCCCAGCAGTAGTAGCAAAGTTCAACAAAACAGAAAATAACAAATGCTGGTGAGGATGCAGAGAGATTGAGACTCACACACTGCTGGTGGGACTGTTAAATGGTACAACCATTGTGTAAAGCAGTATGGTGATTCCTTAAAAAGTTGGAATTAGAAATACCATTTGACCCAGCCATTCCATTACTAGGTATATATCCTAAAGAAGTGAAAGCCAGGACAAGAACAGACATACGCACACCCATGTTCATCGCAGCACTATCTACAAAAGCAAAAAAGATGGAAACAACCTAGGTGTCCATCAAGCGAGGAACGGATAGCCAAACTATGGTATATACACACAATGGAATATTATGCAACCTAAAGAATAACATAGAATCTGCAAAAAACCCCATAACGTGGATGAAATTGGAGGATATTATGCTTGTTGAGTGAAATAAGTCAATCACAGAAGGACAAATATTGTATTCGTCTGTTATTGTAAAAAGTCAAGGAAAGGTTTATATATGGAAGGAAATTTTCTTTGTTGGTTCCCAGGGGTGGGATGGGAGGGGAGGGAACACTGTTAGATAGATAAAGGTAAGTATTGATTTGGGTGAAAAGAAGGGCAATGGACCAAATGTGAGTGATCAACATGGTGGCATTGAGGAAGAGGAAGACATAGAGATGTACATGGGAGGTGCAGACAATAAAGATGAACCTTTTAGCACATACAGTACTGTGTCGTCAGTGAAGGCAAACATAGGTATACAGATGGATGATGGGTAGACAGGATGAAGTATTAAGTATGTCTCTATGCAGTGGGGAGTGTACCCAAGAACATGTATAGGGTTGGCAGACAGTAGTTTTACAAGTGTATTTGTATGTTGTGTAAGAATTCCCAGGTGTATAGTAGAGCTGACAAAGGAAAGGTTGTAGTCACTTCTTGATCTCAGCCAGCTACCCAGAGGGACCGAGTAGTTGAACACGTGGACTCGGGACCATAGTCACAGGGGACATCAAGGTCAATTGGCATAACATACTACACAAAACATTGTTCCATCTCCCACTTCGGCAAGTAGTGACTGGGATCTTAAAAGCCTGAGAGCAGCCATCTAGATGCAACGATGGGTTTCTCCTTGTTCAGAGCAAAGAAGAATGAAGAAAACCAAAGATTCATGGAAACGATTAGTCCAAGCGACTGGTACACCATGTGATCCGCAGCCTATATGACTATAAGACCTGAAGAATTAGATGGTGTCCGGCTACCACTGTCAACCACTTGGAGGGGCATCTATGTAGGAGATCCTGGATAGAGAAGGAGAACAATGTGGAACAAAACTCAAAATCATTTGGAAAAAAAAAAAGGGGGGACCAGGTTTGCTGGT